CCCTTTCTTTTAAGCCTTCTTAGAGGCCTGGCAGGGAGTAGGCGTCTTGCTAGCATGCTGTGGTGTCTTTTAAGCCTATCACTGTATCTGCTTGTGTGCCTTGAGATCTGTTCTTCCACTGTATGCAGATTAAGGTCCCGATGAAGGGTTGAGCTACGTACATAGTATGGGCAGTTGGTGATGGCACGCATTGCACGATTTTGCAAGACCTCAATGCGTTTATAGTTCGATTTTGCAGCAATACCCCAGATCTGCACTCCATATAGCCAGATCGGGGCTATACAGTGGGCGTATACTGCCCTTTTGGCTCTAAGTGTCATGGTGCTTCTTCTGTTGATCAACCATCGCAGTTGTTGCATTCTCTGACCGCATCTCCGTGCCGCAGCTTTTAAGTGTGGGCCAAAGGTCAACCGTTTGTCAAGGGTGATCCCAAGGTATTTAGCCTGCAGAGGTTGTTCTAGGGTTACGCCATCAAATTGTATGGGTGGTGTGCGCCTAATGAGAGTCTTCAAGGTGAAACAAGGATTGATGGTCTTATGTGGATTTACCTTTAAGTTCCATCTTTTGCACCATGCAGCCAAAGTATTGAGATACTCTTGGAGGCCACGTGCTGCCTCAGTGCAAGAACTGGAGCTGTATAACAGTGCGATATCGTCAGCGTAAGTGGCGAGTAGGGCCTTCCTGGGAGCTTCCATATGGTGCATATTTGGGCAAGGCAAATCCGCGGTAAATATTGAGTAGAGCAGCGGGCCGAGGACGCTGCCCTGCGGAACTCCAGCTCTCATGTAGCAAGGGGTTGAGTAGGTGCTTCTGACCCTGACCATGAACTTCCTATCTTCCAGGTAAGATTTCAGGACTCCATAGTATGGTGCTGGAAGCAGCTTTTTTTATTTTGCAGAGTAGGCCGATATGCCAGACTCTGTCAAATGCTTGCTGCATGTCAATAAATACAGCATTGCAGTATTCCAAGTCGTCAAACGCCTGAATAATGTGCTTAACCAGTCTGTGAACCTGCTCCACAGTGCTGTGTCCCTGTCGAAATCCAAACTGGTGATCTGGGAGGATACGGCGCTCCTTAATAAAGTCACCTAGTCTGTTGGCAATCAGCCTTTCCCATATCTTGGATAGCGAAGACAGCAGACTTATGGGCCGATACGATTCCGGATCCTCTTCAGGTTTCCCAGGCTTATGTATCATGAGAATTGCTGCCATTTTCCACTGCTTTGGGAAGGACTGCACCCTAAATATAGCATTAAATATTTTCGCCATGTATAGGATGGCTCGGAGAGGTAGCGCTTTTAACGTGGCATTACAGACATTGTCGATGCCAGGAGTCTTCTTTATTGGCATTGATTTAATGACTTCGGCAATTTCCTCAACCCTGATTGGTTTAATTGGTAGCGACATTTGTAGGGGTATCTCTAGGCTGTCAAGCGTCTCTCGATTCTGCTCCATTGTAGCGAATTGGTAATGGGTGAACCTAGTCTCCAAATGATTTGCAAAGGAATTGGCCTGTTCCTCCTCGTTTTTAGCAAGTTCACCTCCCGGGCATCTAATGGGTACCTGTCTGAACGGTTGTCTTTTGAGGGATTTGGTGGACTTCCAGAGTGAATACCCAGCATCCACCGTATAGTCCATAGAAGCCAGCTTCTGCTCAAAAAAGATACTTCGAAGGTCTCTTACCACATTTCGTAGTTGTTTTGCAGCACGGTTCCATAAGATGCGGTCCCAGGGATCTTGAGATCGGATTGCTCGCCTTCTGAGTCTCCTTTTCTGTGTCAGGAGCTCTCTAGCCTCTCTTGTTAGGGATATTCCATAGGGGGTGCCTGTCCGAGGAACAGAAGGCGTAGATGCAGTCGCAGCCCTGTGAATACTTTGCGTAAGGTGATCAACAGCCATTTCAATTTCTTCACCAGAATTTAGCGTGATGTTCAACGGGATCATGCTCTCCAGTTGTTGACTAAAAGCGAGCGGGTCAGTGTGCTTGTTGACTAATCGTGGACTTGGATTCACATGGGTACTATCTGTCACAATACTGATGATCAAAGGCAAGTGATCGGAGTCCAGATCCCAACTTTGTGTTATACTTGTTAGGGAATCTGGTATACCATGATGCACCGCGAAGTCAATGCAGGAAGGCGTATGACTGGGTACATAAGGATACCTGGTTGGCGAACCAGTTGCAAGTATCTTAGCTCCAGTGATAGAGATGGCTTCCGCTAGCTCACGCCCCCGGGGTGAATTGTAGGTGTCGCCCCAAAGCCAGTGTCGGGCGTTCCAGTCGCCACCAATCATATACCGTTGGCCGCAAGAGCGTATTGTGTCAGTAAATTGTCTTTCGTCGATACTAACACTGGGAGGACAGTAAATGGCGCCGAACTGCACGTCACCCAGTCCTGTAGCTACTTTTACTGTAGACATTTGTATGCTGCGTGTCTCTATGACCCTTTGCGGGAAATGGCGAAGAGTTGTCCTAACGAACACGGCTGCTCCACCAACGCTATTATTATTTTGCGATGGCCTAAATGCTGGATAGAAAGCATAACCATATATCTTAACAGTATCCCCTCTTTTAATTCTAAGTTCCGTCACAAGAAGAATGTCCACGCTATTATTGTGCGCGTAAAGCTCAATATCTTTAGCTTTTCTTGAAATGCCGTTGGCATTCCAAATAAGAATCTTTAGTGGATTCATTGTGGGTGTGGAGCGTTGTTAGAAAGCTGGTAGGTATGTTCATTCCCAGCTCCTTGCTTTAACATGGTGGTTATTTCAAATACCATTCTTTCGAGCTTTTCAAGTCGTTGATTGGTTTGATTTCTGTGATGTTGCTGATCTTGTTGCTGCTGTTGCAACCACATAAGAAACTGATGTTGTTGTTGTTGTTGCATTTGCTGCTGCCATTCTTGGAACTGTTGTTGTTGCTGTTGTAACAATGCTTGGACGTCAAGTGAATTATTTTGCTGAGTGTTCAGTCGTTGTTGCTGCGATAACTGTTGCGTTTGTAAGTTATATAAACGTCGCTGAGCTGGTCCATCCTTGGAGGGAGTTGTATTAGAGTATTCTTTTGCTACTGTGGCATAGGATACTTTTGTATTTACCCCAGGGCCTATAGATGGTTGATGCTGTACCATATTTTGGTGTTGTTGTGTTGGTTGCTGATCTTCAGTTGACTGGTTAGTACTCTTACGGCGATTAATCTGCACGGAAGGAAACTGTTGCTGATCTCTATGGTTGAACCCATGATTCTGCCTATTTAAGTGATTCGCCTTCTTCGCAGGCCCCATAGATCTGCGGAGAAGCTCCTGGTACTTATGGCAACCTTTATAACTAGCCATGTGATCGTGAGAACAGTGATAGCATGTGGGCAGAGCATCTACAGGACGTGTACATTGTGTGGTTTGGTGATTTTCACCACACCTGGCACAATTTGGATGTCTGCGGCAGTATTTAGCTGTATGGCCATACTCCTGGCAACGTCGACATTGTGCAATTTCACTAGACTTTCGCATCCTTTCGATCCGTATTTTCTGTCGGCAAAGGGTCTTCACGTGATAAATTTCATTAATATTAGGGCAGGGCTTAATGTTAATGAAAAAAATATTGAGTTTTTCATCTTTATTAACCCTTGAACTAGGGTTGTGAATGTGAAGTACTTCATAGCCTAAACATTTCAGATCGGCCGTTATATCTTTGTTTTGTGTGCTGTGATGTAAGTCCCTTACTACAATTCTGTGTGCTTTTTCTGTCAGCATTTGGTAAGTGTGAAACTGCATACCAATTTCATCCATATAGCTAACAATTTTTCTGTAAGTGTCACTGTCTTTGGGAAATATTCTGACTGTTTCCCCTTGGTTAGCTTTGACTACGACGTTATCTAGACTTGCCTTTTCTTGTATGAGCTCAAATAGGTCATTTAAGTTGCTAATATTAACAACAATTTGGGGTGGTTTTTTAAAATCTTTGAGTTGATTGTTGGCGTTAGATGTTTCCTGGGATTTATTGGCAGTATTGTTTTCTGCAGATTGAAATTCGTCCATGCGGGCACTAGCATCATCGGCATCCTCAGACATCATGTCTTCCCCGTTTTCTTCATTAGTAATGATGTCCGTGTCGAGAATAGCAAACCTGTTACTAGAGCTTGCCTTCTGGTTAATTGTGGGGACCAAGTGCGGGCCCTGGGTACTGCTCACTCTTTTCGGTTTAAGGATGGGGGACAGTGGCTTTGCATTTTTTCTCTTGCCTGCTTTCCGATTTTGATCATCCAGTAATCTTCTGGCAGCACCGCTTAGATTTTTTGCTGCAATGTCGGGGCTGGTCAATTGGGAACATTCTTGGTTTGCTACACTTGAACCAGAACAGATGCTGCTCATTGTGGGATTTGCCATTGTGTATATGGTGCTGCTACTGGCACTAGAAAATGTCACTGTTGTTGTGGTGGGACTGCTTTGAGACTTATTGCATGTAATGCGTTGAATTTCTGATCGGCACTCGTCTCTAATCTTACTAGGTAATTTTCCAGCTATTGAGAACATTTTTTCATGATCAATCTGCTTCTTTATAAGCTGAGAGTCATCGAAACTGTTTTCATTCATTGTTTTTATATTGTCTTAATATTCAGCAAATAATTTGCGGGCCCAAATGTCCGGAACAGAGCATAAACAGTTCGGTTTTACTGATAAGCAAAGTTTGTTTACCTCTTGTGCAGTTCTGCGCGGGGTGAGGTAGATGACTTGCCCGAAGGGCAGAAAGCACCGTTTGAATGCACTTCACCTGATGCACTTTTTGTTTTTGTCAAACTGCCGACACCGCTCAAAGCAGCGCCCAAATAAATGATTTGTGCTATTTTGAGCACAAAAGGGAATGCACCGATAAGCAAAAAATAAATCACTTTTGCATGCGCGCGACACAACCGATCTCTTTGACTGCCAGAGTAGGAATCCAGTAGCCTTGGGTGCACTTACTTATGCACTGGTCACTAAAGAACTCAGTCAAGGTAAAGGTAATAAACCGAAATATTTGACTTAAAATCGTAATTAATTTTTATTTTTTTATTTTAAAAAAATTACTCAAATTAAACGACTAAGCTGTGGCAGCTTTTAGCTCTGTTTCCTTTGCCTTAAAATCCTCTACCAGCTTGAATTTCTGGATCTTGCCCGAGGTGGTTTTTGGGAATGCATCTATGGGGATCACATATCTGGGCACCTTAAAGTGGGCCAGCTTGCCCTTGGCATAGGCCTTCAAGGTCGCCGCGGTGAAGGTGGCGGGGTCAACGCCCTCCTCCAGGCGAACATAGGCGCAGACTTCCTCACCCAATCGCTCATCAGGCACTCCAATCACCTGGTCAATGGACAACAATTATAGCAAATTAATAACACACTAAATCAATCCAGTTTTAAACACAACTCACATGAGTCTCAATGACCTGGGGGTGGGTGTTAACAAAGTCTTCAATCTCCTTGGGGAAAATATTTTCGCCGCCACGAATGAGCATCTCCTTCAGGCGACCCACAATCCGTCCATATCCATTGGCCTCCAGGACAAACTGATCTCCCGTGCGCAGCCACCTATCTGTACCGATGGTTTCCTTCGTTTTCTCCTCATCCCCGTGGTAGCCCAGCATCGTGGTGTATCCGCGGACGCACAGCTCTCCGGGCTGTCCGAATGGCACACACCTGCCCTCGGCATCCACCACCTTGGCCTCGACGTGATCCATCAGATGGCCCACTGAGTTCAGGACAACATCGCTGTGATCGCCGGGCAAGGACTGGAAGATCACCGCTGTGGATTCCGTAAGGCCATAGACACTGTGAACCGTTTCCACTTTGAGAACCTGTCTCACATCCTTGATCAGCTGCGGCGACACAATGGCACCTCCGGTGATGGCCTTCTTGATCCTGCCCAGCGGCACCTGCAGCTTCTTCTGGGTGTTGATCAAATCCACATACATGGTGGGTGTGCCATGGATCACCGAGCACTTCTCATTGATGATGGCTTGCAGCGAGTCCTTGGGACTGAAACCGGCCGCGGGCAGGACCATGGTGGCTCCTTTGGTCAGTGCAGCCATGATGCTAATGATCACACCGAAGGCATGGAACATGGGCACCTGCACACAGATCCGCTCGCCCTCCAGTTCATTGCGATTGCCCACATGGATGCCATTGTTGACGAAATTGTTATGGGTAAGGCAAGCGGCCTTGGGATTGCCAGTGGTTCCCGATGTGAATTGAATATTGCACGGCGACTCTGGCAGAATGTTCTTCTGGATTTTGGCCACCTCTTCGCGCTCCGACTTGTTGGCCAGGTCGAGGAAGTCATCAAAGCGCAGGGCGCCCTTCAGGCCATCATTGCTGTCGATGATTACGGATTGCAGGTGCGGGAACTTCTCACTCCGGATCTTGCCAGGCTCCGCATCCGAGATTTCCGGACAAATATCCCTCAAAATCTCATAGTAGTTCTGCGTCTTGAAGGTCTCCGGCGCAATGATGGCCTTCACATTGACCTTATTCAGGCAGTAGGCTATTTCCGGTGCCTGGTAAGCGGGATTCAGACCCACCGAGGTGAGACCCGCCCGGGCTGCTCCCATCATGCCCAAGTACCAGTGCATGTAGTTGGGTGCCCACAGACCAACGGCATCGCCCGGCTGGAGGCCCAGCTTCCGGAAACCCGCCGCCATGGCATCCGCTTCCTGCAGCAAACTGCTGAAGGTGTACCGCTTGCCCTCGTGGCAGGAGACAATCGCCTCCACATCGCCGTAGTCGCCCGCTGATAGCTCCAGCTGCTGGCCAATGGTGCGGTACACCAAGGGCTCCTTTCCGATGTGATGCTTATGGCTGATCAGGTTGGGCATCGAGGTGGAGATGCTGCAGAACAGGGTGGGTAATGATAGTTTAGTAAATACATACAAAGTTGCTGGAATGTATATCTAACTGGAGGATTCTTTTCTTTTACTTCAAGCTCTTGGGAATATTTTCAAAAGATTCTACGTGTCAAAGAGCGAATTTCATCATCGGCGGTTTGCGTTTTCGCTGAAGGGGTTCCAGATTTTGGTAATGTCGAAGCTTTTTGAAATGAATAAGCTTTTAGCATTTATATATGTAAATTGGAAGTCATAGAGTTTTCTTGAGCAAACATACATATATGTTTTATCTCTCAATAGTTCTGGCAGATTATGCTTCCGAATTGCAAGCGTAACTTTACTTACTGCCCAAGTGGAAAAAGGTGGCGCTCCGAAACTCACACAATAATATTTATTTAGTGGCTACAGCAACAGGTGTTATGCCAAACTGTATATTATGCAGTTCATATACTTAAAGTTGTAAATGTAAACACTTGCAAATGTATATGTACGCTGGCTATCCGTGATAATAGATCTTGGGCTTTTGGCTTTCGGTGCTGGCCATGTATTATGAAGCGAGTGGAAAGTTCTGCTGGCGATTTGCTTATCTGTCGAAATTCATCTAAATTGATACCTGATAATTAAAACGACCTGTGGCTGCTCTGAATTGGAGAAACACTCCCCCAGCCACGCCCCCTTTGAGGCTGGCACTCAAATTGAAGACATACTTAGGCCCAATGACTACCAACTGCTGTGGGCAACTGTACCTTCTGCCTGGAATCTGAAATATTACGCAACGTGGCGGGGATGTCGCATGTGTGACGGGGGGTAGAGGGGCGTGGTATATATGTATGTATGTATAGAGTACTGGGCACCCCAACCAAAACTGCGCAATTAGATGGTGGAAACATCGCACCCTTCGTCACAAGCAAAACCTGTGAGCTTGGGCACCCGCTCTATAAGGATGGCCATCCCTAAAGGATGCTGATCCTGCCTACCTGCGCATCGAGTTGAAGGCACATTTCTGCCTCAGCAGATATTTGGAGATGGTCTGCAGCTTGCTGTTCATCTTGGCACTTATCACAGTTGTTGATTGGCTTAAACGGGCGAATCTGTTACTATAATTTCATAATATGCACAGCTACACTTTTTGCTAAAAAGATTATTAGTTTTCGATTCAGTTCGCCTCGGTTTCTGGCTGGCAACCTGGGAACGTCCGCAGCCCGTCAAGTTCTGAATCAAACTGAATCTAATCGCCGTATGTTCTGCCAGCTGCGCTGCCTCAGTCGACGCCTCTAGTTTTTTTCTTTATAACCAGACAAGATCGTTGCCGGCGTTTGTTTTGCTTTCTGTTTTAACGCTTTTATTTTGCTTGCGTTTTTGTTGGCTTTTGGCAGCACGTGTGGCTGAGAGTTAGCACTGTGTGTGTGGTGCTTTCAGCTCTATTATGTTTGCTTAATTTGCAGCTTTCGGTGGGCAGAGGCGCAGAAAGGGGGCTTTCCACCAGTAAACCCCTAACTTTATTGCTCAACAAATAGTTTGTGAGCATATGAAGCTTAGATATTTTGTAAAAAATTACATTTTTGGTTCTGAAAATTGTTTCTAACTGTTTTCTTTCGTTATTTTATTAGAAGCAGATTTATAATTATATTTTTTGATTGAATCAAAATAAATGTTATTGTTGAGCCCCCCCTCACAAGTTTTATTAGCTACGCCCCGGTTGTTTGGAGCTCGCATGTTTGAAGCTTTTTCGTTGTGGCGTGATTCGCAGCTTTTTGATCTGACAGAAATGTTCGCTCTCTCTGAAATACTTAGGCATAAATATGTACATATGTTGTATGTTCTTCCTGAACTTAAGTGATAATATTGATATTATTCTCAAAATAATAATAATTGTCGTGGGAGAAAATATAATTTTATAGAATTTGTATTATTGCTTTGAATAGTGTGCGAGAAAGTATAATGGTATTTTTACTTCTGTATGGTTTGGATGGGATACATTGCTTTGAATAAGTTGATTAGACTTCAAAATGAAATAAAGCTGCATTTGTTTCACTGCAAATGGTACATCCACCTTTCTAGATTAGACGACAACAGCTGTGCGATAAGATTAGTTGACATTGCTGCTACTTGAGTCACTTGTTGCGGCATCACTGATAAGACATAATTCGCGTGGCTGGCGTGGCTTTTCTGGTTCCTATCGCTTATTTTTGCTCTTATCATACCCCCAAAAATGTATAACCCTCACTCAAAAATAGCTTTTTATTTAGTTGACCTTGTTGTCAAATCAGCATAGGTTTAACAATTGAGAAATCAAAATTGTGTGCGAAAATCTTGATGAGTTATTTGTGCATTTCCTTGAATCCGAAGCGATTCCTTTTCCTTAGATATACATATATTTATATGCAAAAATTTGAAGGGAATTTCATTATTTACATAAGCGATGTATTAACAAAATCGTTTTAAATGGTAGAATGGTTAAATGGCTATTTGAGAAGCTTTTTATACAGAGTGATATAGAAGTGGCTCCATTTAACCAAGACCATCCAAAAACTATTAACCACTCGTTTTCCTGGCCGTTTGGGATTTTCGCGACCAGTCAGCAGGGATGTCATACTCCCAATGGCGACTGTTGCCCACTTGGATTTCCCAGCGGCACTTAACGATGGTGGAAATCCCAACGACATTTAAGAGTAGCGGCCAGATTTTGGCGCCAAAAAAGGCGGTGTTACCCGGATTCAACAATTGTAAACAAACGCTTGCGCGGATGCAACTTGGCTCCTACTTCTGATTTTTCGCAGGAGCGTCTTGGGTCGTTCGAGTTTGGAGCTTCGTCGTGTTGCCAAAGCTACCAAACCGAATGGAGGGCCGAGTTTTTCCGCTCGAGCGCCTTGGGAAAACTCGACGCTGTGAAAATGGGACTGGCAAATCAGAAACTCGCAGACGCTCGTGGCAAACGGTTGATTTTTTCTCGTGGCTCCGAAAAAGAAAAAAAAGAAGTAGAAGGCAACCAGGAATCCAGAGTTGAAGTTGGGGACTGATTTGGCCAAAAATAATAAAGGGGGCACCGCCGTTAACGCACACGCAACCGATGCCATAAAGGGGCTAAACATATAAATTTGTGTAGTAAAAGTGAAGAAAGCGAAGGAATCAAAGTGGAATAATAGCGAGTGTTTTTCGGTTTGCTGGTGTTTCCTTCTGTCTCTGTGTGTGTGTGATTCCTAGTGTGTCTGTTGCTGTTGCTGTTGCCAATGAAAATGCAAATTGTTGGTAACAAATATTGGTAAAATGCGGAGGCCGTAGGAATTTGTGCAATGCGAGTGCGAAGTGAAGGAGCCCGAAACTATGCAGCTAAAAAGCAGCCATCATACCCCGCATCGAATCAATAATAATACAATAACCCAGACGTATTACACGGATAATGGCAGCATAAACCAGTTAACATCCGACAGTGTTTCCGCATAATCACCTGTCTCCTCCTCCTCCACATCCCCTCGAAAAATCCCCATGATCAGCGGAGGATTGTGGAGCAGTAACTAGCGAGGGAGCAGTAACCAGGATGTCGCAGCCGCGCGGAGGGCGTGGCGGTGGGCGTGGCGGCGGAGTGGGACGCAAAACCCCCTCCTCGCTGACCGGTCCGCCGGATGAGTCGGCCACGCCCAGCGAACGGGCTACGCCCGCCAGCAAAGCGGACTCCGATCCCAAGGACGACAGCTCGAGCAATGGCGACAAGAAGGACATGGATCTCTTTCCAGCCCCCAAGCCGCCGAGTGCCGGCGCCTCCATTCGGGACACGGCGAACAAGGTCCTCGGATTGGCCATGAAAAGCGAGTGGACGCCCATCGAGGCGGAGCTGAAGAAGCTGGAGAAGTATGTGGCCAATGTGGGCGAGGATGGCAATCACATTCCGCTGGCCGGCGTTCACGACATGGTGAGTACTGTACAGTGAAGTGCCGCGAGGCGGCTTTTCCGGCTCATTTGCCACGATTTGTAAAATCAATTGCGAGCCAGAGCGGGAATAGGAAGCGAAATAAATACAGGAACAGGTCCTGCACTTGGCGAAAAAATTTTAAAATTAACTTGTACATCGAAAGATATACATATAAAAAACATTTGTGAACTGTATTGTTTTTTGAAATTCCTAATGAAGGATATATTTGAATATTCAAGGATATTCAAGGATTCTATATGGATAGGTTGTTAGGATAAGGATATAAGGATATATATAGTTGCATAAGGATATATTTAAATATTCATCTGTAAGGATCGGTTGTTCTGTTAACTTCTATTCAGCTATTGAATTCTTTTAATTTTCAGTGCATTAGTAAAACTAAAATATTTTAATAAATAAATTTAGAAATATTAAATAGTGCTGAAAAATAGGTTTGCTATTTTTTATGTGCATTCATTTCCCTGAGTGTATGCGATGTAGAAACGTCGCCCTTATCAACGTCGGCGGCATTTTCCCATTTCTGGTTGTTTACCAGCCAAAATAACGACACAGGAACTGGAGGCCAGAAAACAGAGCATACCATGTATTAGCCAGAAAACAGAGGCCAGCAAGCAAAACAGGCCCAAAAAACAGAGAACAGCGAATGTTATTTGATAGCGCGGCCCAAATGTTTTGGCTGCCAAGGCGATGGCTTTGGTGGCTTTCGGTTTTCGGTTTTGGAGCTCCAAGTTCCTGGAGCGTCCTGCCACAAGTTGCGCTGACTACCCTCTGGGAGCCCCGTCTCCGACCGATAAACTCATAAAACATCGAAGAATTGAAGCGCTTCGATTTCAATTTACCATAAACGCTATGAAACGGAGAAGTCGTTGACATAAAATTAACGTTGCACCGCTAATGAAATGCGGGGAGGTGTGCGGCGAAAGGGTTGAAACTTCCTGGCCGTGTTTTTCTTCTATTTTTCCCTTTTCTGTGGGTGGAACTACATAGCCCCACCAGTGGTGCAGGTTGTCTGCCAGACTAGACTTACGACGAGACGATATTTGCATAAATATAGCTTGGAGTTGAGCTATTTTTGCCTTGATTATTTCCGCTTCTCCAGGATTGGGGTCTTTATTCGGTTCTTGCCTTGATGGGCTTGCTCTTGATTTCGTTTTAATTACGAGCGAACGAGCTTATAATATCGAAACCAGCCTTTCAGTCGAAGCATTCCAACGCAATAATGATGCATTTAAATGGCCAAGTTGCTTGTCAATGAGGTCAGGACAATGCGTCTTAAACTACTTCTATTTAAAATACTTTAATTGTGGTACTATGCTTGTGGACGTAACATATTGTATTATATCAAGCTTAAACTAAAGGACACCCCATTCATTTCCATTGCAGAATACCGGCATGACGCCGCTGATGTACGCAACCAAGGACAATAAGACGGCCATAATGGATCGCATGATTGAGCTGGGCGCCGATGTGGGAGCCCGCAACAATGTGAGTCTTGACCGGGAATCGGGCAGGAATAATTTAAAGCACCTTAGCCAACTACCCAAGTTGTTCCGTGTTCCAGTGGCCAAATATAGCAGCGGCCCAGCTGTTCAAGCCAACTGCGGCAGCAAAAGCCGCTAAAAATGTGTCAAATCAATAAAAACCGCATAATTAAATCTCGAGCGTGGGCGTTGGTGGGCAAATCCGTGCACCCACTTCTACGCACGATTCTCACACGCCGCCCACCCCCGTCAATACGTCAATTCGGCAATGCCTCCCTGCCTCAATGGGTCAACTTGGCCGGACTTGGCCAATGGGCGACGCACGGGCAGTTCACTTCATTGGACTCCAGTTGAGTCAAGTTTTCCCGCACGAATGGGAATTTCCTCGGGGAAAGGAAAATACCAACACATTGCTTTTCTTTTGATTTTATAACTGCTGTTTACGTTGGCAAATAACAGCTTATGGTGGGCTAACAAAAAATTATAAACTCTTAATTACAGAACACTAAAGTTGAAATTTATAATTGGGCACCTATCGCTTTTAGTGACTTATAGTTTCAACTTAACTTTTGATTTTAAGGTAACATTATCAACAACGGAGTTTTGCCAAAGAGTAAAGATGTAAGGTCATCGCTGATGACTATTCCGATTTCCCTAGTAATTTACCATCGTGATTATGGCCAATTCTTGATTCGATGTCAGCAAGTGAAGTGAGCAGAGTTGGCATCGGCCATTAGGCCAAGTTGCTAACAATTGGTTGAATTCGCCGAGCAGCTTGCTTTGCATGCCGCAATTACTTAGCACATTTCACTTGAAGTCGCTTTTTTGGCTGCCCATTCACATGTCCTTACGTATACGCAATGTACTTTATTTGGGGCTAGCGGCGATAAAAATCCTTGACCTAATTACAAAATAATTGTTGGCAAGCCAGCGCAGACATGGCGAATTGAATTACCAAAACAAACACAGAAAGTTCAGTTTTCCTGTCCCCCTTGAAATTTTCCCAAAAAGTTGTGGGGGTTAAAGATTGTGCGGGGAAATGTTAAAGGTAAATTTGCACATGAAAGTAATAAAACATGAACTAGCTGGGATTTACAAGCCGGGCATGAAAATAAAACACTAGATAAGCATTTATTTGAGCAAAGCAATTCTATGTTTGTTTCAACTGCACATCAATTACTCATATTTGACCTCTTAAATGATACTAGCCTTCAAAATGATAAATGTATGTATTTTATAACGCCATGTAGACAGAGATACTTATTTTTTCCTCGCAAATAATTATAATAATTATTAATTTTAACATGGTTTAACATGGTTTGGTTGCCATTAAACTAATTAGCTATTATGATATCATTTTCGTGAGTTTATTCAAAGCGCACCTTCCTGAAAACCGGACCATTACCTCATCTGTTTAATTACTCTTTTGTTTTATAAAACAAATGTCACTTCGTGACCAAATCGGATAATTTCACGTACACCGCCCCAATGAGTTAAAAACTGGGCTCGTGGCCGAGAAAATGTTTATTGCATTTACAATTTGCAACTTATCTAACTGTCAGGTCCAGTCGAAAGTAATACCCACACAACACGACAGGACCAGGACCTTTATGGCCATTACAGAGGATAATTGTATGATGTAATGCCGTGGTAATTAACATTTTTAACTTTTCAACTCCAAGGTGGCAGAGTGCCACCGTTTTTTTGGCACTCGACTTGGAGGCGTGCTCGCAACACCTCTTTGCAACTTAAAAGCCAATTAATCAAGCACATGACTCCGATGTACGCCCAGTTGGCCAAAAACTCCATTTGACCTTTCGAGTGCGGCCCAAACCGGAGACCTCGACGTTGGCCCCAACTTCCGCTACATTTTTATGGCCAGCGGCGCCATTAATATGCAATTTTAATTAAATTCAAGTGGCATTCTTCACGCAGTGGCCTCTCCATATGTGCGGCGATGACAGCGTGAAATAAACTGAGGAATAAAAACGCCAATTCATTTGTCAAGCTGGCTCAGTGCGTGAGTGAAGTAATCTGCCCCAACCACGCGAAAAACAGAAATTAATTTACTTCATTAGGAGTGCATATGCAAGAAGGTGAGGGTTTAAGCCAAATGAGCACCGTAATGAGGACTTGCAATTATTCCAAAGAAGGTGTGTGACATCGCGGCAAAATGACTTCATGGCTGCCACAAGGCACACTCCTCGAAAATCCTCCGAGTATCTCTGGGCCGTAAAAAACACCACGAAACTGGGTCGACTTCGTACACCTCCACCCTTTTTTTGCTTTTCGCCTGGCGGGGCAAAAATGTGCTGGAAAATTTGCGCTTCCGTTTTGGTTTTGTTTCCGGTTTTTCCTTTCGCCCGGCCAAGCAAACACAAACACAAACACACACGAGACTCGAAAACGAACTCGAACCGGGCTGAAAAGTATGCAAAACAGCGCGTGAAATATTATCTGTCTACCTTGGACCCCAATACGGGCCCAATCCTCCAGCAAACCCCCAAGCGTCTGCCGGCTGAAAGTTAACTTGGCTTTTTCTTTCGGGCCAACGTCTTGGCTGGGCTTTCTGGACATGTGTCAAAGCCGTCGACTCGAGCGCCAACTTGCGGTGTATGCAAATTAGCAGGAGTTGCGGCCAGAAATAGTCGCAAATAAACCGCAGGGAACTCGAATTTCACGCGGCACGAAGTCCACACACACTGCCAAGTGGCAAAGTCCTCGTGAGAACTTCAAAAGGGTTCGAAATACTTGCGATTCCAGGTATTCTGCAAGATCATGAATAGCAGTTTGCTAAATGTTTTGGTTTGGCCTTTGTTTACTAGACAGAAGGTATATATATTGATTAATCCCCTCAATTTAATCTCCTCATTTTTTAAAACACACACTAATTATTTTACTCCAACTGTTTTCATTAGCTAGAAACTCCTACCCTTTTATGCTGAATTTTATAGATCCTTTCTGCACTTACCAACCCGATGACAGGGCATAAAGCAGCCATACATATATTCGAAACCAGTTCACTTCCGGTCGGGTTGGAAACAGTGGGAGGGCTTAGTTATAAATTAGGTCCGGGCGTACGGGGCGTATGCGTTATGGCTTATTATATAAGCCAATAAATATGGCCGCATGCCCCGGTTTCATATGTGACTCACTTCAGCTAAACTAAGCACTCCATGTCAGACGTTATCTTAAAGCACTTTTCGTTACGTTTCGGTGATTTGCTGGGGGTCATACTTGTATTTTCCTAGCCGCATTGTTTTATATTTCTTCCTTGGGTTTTTGGGGCTTTGGGGTTTTCCTGGCTGCCCCATTGATGCAGTTTTTGCATGTGAGCTTGCGGCTGGGCTGTGGCCATTAAGAAAACCGTCCGTAAGTGAAAGTCCGCATGCAAGATTGTGGCTTAAGTAATCAACCACTCCCTTTTGGCAAAGTCCCCGCAGAAGCCACATGCAAAACCGTCTGACTTTGACCCATTGAACTGACCCAGCTCTTTTGGTGTGGGCGTCAGTTTCCTGCCAATGAATTGCAATTGATTTCCCTCCACCACCTCTCTCTCTCTCTCTCTTTCAGGATAATTATAATGTGCTACACATTGCCGCAATGTATTCGCGTGAGGATGTCGTCAAATTGTTGCTAACAAAACGCGGCGTGGATCCCTTCTCCACCGGTGGCGTGAGTATTCCAATAGCTCTATATACTATATGCCCCAACCCCCCACCCCACCCGCTTCCAAGAAAGTATTTCCCCAATAGTTGAGGTAGCGACACGTCAGGCTCGAGTTCCTAGTTTCGAGTCAATGAAATCGCTGCATACTTGGGGCTGCTGTCAGCCCGATTCGCAGGCAATTTGCGGCTATTAGACGCATACTTCAGTTGGCTTCGACTAAAAAAACAAGGTATCCAAAGGTCAGAGCCATGCGAAGATGCAACTTGGAGGCTCGCATGTTGCATGTTACTTTGGCGGGAGCAGCAATTAACTGGCGACAAGGTTAAGATGGTAATGTCTAGGCTCCGCTTAAGAACACTTCAAAACAAATTTAAAGTAAGCCCATATATTTTACCCAACGAATTACGCAGAAATAAAATCAAACTCGTTTATTGAAATCCTGCATTTTGCGTGGCTCCGATCGCTGACGTTTGTTTAATTACTGCAACTTCAGACTGAGAATTAGTGAAACCATACGTATATTATCTAAAACCAAAAGCCGTTAACCTTCACCTCTAAGAATACAGTGATTTTAACTCTCATCAGAAGCATTTTTTGTATAAAATCTAATGATCACAACGTCGAGCATTTTGGCAATTAATTATCAACGTTTTTTTCCCGTGTTTGCATTAATTTGCATTTCTTTATTATTTCTCTGCCGCATTGAGTTTTCGAGACTTGGTGACTTGGGGGGCGTGAGCCTTGCCGAAATTACTGATGGTTATCAGAAGAGCGTTCTAGGCACGCGTGGGAGCGAGAGGGCTGGAGCCGTGGAAGCGGGACAGACAGATGCAAACTTTTGTTTTAGCAACAGCCAAGTTTGAAGTGTTCCGTTGGCGTGTGTGCGTGGCAAAAGGACTCCACATCCACAGCCGACACCTGCCCCATGTTGCCTACACCTGCTGCTCGGCCACCCGTCCCCCCGTCCCCCCGCTCCCATTTATAGGCCTCTCTCGCTCACTCGCACTGCGGCCGTCGGTGGGAGTTCTTTATTATGTTTTTTTTCGGGCTGTCAATCTGTGATATGAGCGGGAGAGGCCAAAAAAGAAAAATGACACGAAACGTGCTTATAAACGCAAAAACGAGCCACTTGCCTATTCAGTCGCAAATGGGATTTTGAAGCGAATAGGAAGCAGTTTGCCAGTTTTTTAGGTGCGAACATTAACCACATAGCAGTGCTCATAGTTGGCTGCATATTAATTCTGGCTCGGGAAAAGTGTGACCCTGACAATAAGTGCGTTTGCAGTGTGTGCCTAATTCAGTCGAAGAGTTAATTGAGTTTCTCCCATTTCAGTCGCGTTCCCAAACTGCGGTGCATTTGGTGTCCAGTCGACAAACCGGAACTGCAACTAACATCCTCCGCGCTCTGCTCGCGGCTGCTGGCAAGGATATTCGCTTGAAAGCGGACGGTGTAAGTGTTACCATGTGTGCTTGTGAGTGTGCCAGTGTGGCTGTTTGGCTGTGTGAGTGACGGAGAGCCACAAGTGTTGGCCGCCCAATTGATGCCACTAGATCTCCACTAGTTATGATAGCTGAGCCCCCCACATGTAAGCTGTTGTGAAGTCAAGTACTCTCGACAGCGGTGCCAGGCGGTGCCGACGTAAACAAAGACTTAATAAAAATCACCAAAAAATATATACATTACAATAATGGCAACAGCAAAATCGAGAGGAGTTAGTAAGCAAACAAAATTTGTGGAAAAATCGATATGCAAAACTGCTCGCGGTAAATGCATTTCGACTGGCTGTAAATCAGAAAAGGCCCAAAAAAGTTAATGTGGCTATTACACAGCAAGAAATTTGATCAGTTAGTCCCAGTCAATTTGTGCAGTCTTGCTTCATTTACTCATTTCTTAGTGAATTTTCAATTTTTTTATATATTTATAACAAGTTATTAGAAAGCTAGTATATGAATTCAAAAATATAGATTTTAAAAACAGCAATATTATGTCTGCATATAAGGTATGGGATCTGCAAATATATTTTTCCTACATTTATATTTGCATTTTTTGTATTTTTATAACAAGTTATTAGAAAGCTAGTATATAAAATCAAAAATAGACTTTAAAAACAGAAATATTATGTGTGCATATAAAGTATGGGATCTGCAAATACCTTTTTCCTGCACTGTATCAATAAGTAGCTCTCACCACAGTGGGTAGGCTCCAGTGAGCTTTGGGTTACCATCAAAGCAGTCGTCTCCGTCTGATGAACTTGCAGGGGCAAGCCGAGCTCCAGATCCCCTTTTCGAGCCCCCTGGCAAATCTCAGAACAGAAATGCGGAACTATTTGTCGCATCACGTGCGCCGGGTGAAAATGCACAGGCGATATTTCCATTACGCACGCGAAGGGAGCGCATAAATTTCCGGCGAATTGCTATCAAGCGATTGGGTGGCATTGGGGTAAATGGGGGCCGATTGAGGGAATCCCGATGAGGGTGCCACCGATTGATTGTCTAGACAAAATGGTAACCCAGCTCGATTTGTGCCTCGATGGCTGCGGCAAATGGCAAACAGCAACTTGATTTAAATCAATTAGAGAGAGGTGGAATGGCACTGTCAGGCGAAATTAGTCGGATGAAGTATTTAGCTTTCGATGCCATTCAGTTCGATTCGTTTCGTTTAGATTCGCTTTTCTTTTTCTACACGCATTTCCGGGGTTTATATACACACGAACATATATCTGTGGATTGTACTGTAGATTTGCCCCGCGAGGGCGCTCAACTCGTTGCCAACAACAAACAAATAACAAACCGTGGAAAACTCTGCCGAAAAAAGGGGGTCAAGTCGCTGTACAACTTGATTTACTCGCCTTTCCTGGCAGATAGGGATAATGGCACCCCGTCACGCCCCCTCTTACGACCCTCCGCAAAAGGCAGTAGTTGGTTGCAAGTTGGAGCGCCAAAGTTGCGAACTTGGCTAAAAATAGCGAAACATGTTGCCGTTAACACTTGAGGCTCGAATTGGCTAATTGGATATTTATGATTATATGCTCGCGAGTGTGAATGGATGGGTGTGTGCTCGCTGTCCTTATCTTAATTATATTTCATACTATATATAACCTATCTTCCTAGCGTGGCAAAATACCATTGCTCCTGGCCGTGGAGTCGGGCAACCAGTCCATGTGCAGGGAGCTCCTGGCTGCACAAACAGCAGAGCAGCTCAAGGTAAGTAATCTGTGAACTCGGAGCGCCATCCTACACCTATTTTAAGACTCTAAAATATAAACAAAAATGTTTGTTATATTTCAACTCAAGTTGCAGTTAAAATGGAAATATAAACGGATCAATACCAAACTGTAATATTGCCCAAGTTAGTTAGTTTATGAGCGAAATGCTCATCAAAAGCCATAAAAAGCATAAAATGCAAATTTCGCTGGCCATCAACGCACCTAGCTGATTTTCACTAGGTTGGAGCCAAGAAGTTGTTGATTTTAAAATCGCCACGATAGTGTCAATCAAAATGTCCATCCGCGCTGTCGGAAAATGTCCACAAGGTTCTCGAAGCCTTGAACTGTCCAATAAGCAGGCGTGCAAATAAATCAAAAATGCAAATTTACCTGCCTCACCTGTGCGTACAGCTGCACAGCAAGTGCAACAGTGCGCGACATTGGCAAAGTTTGTGCAGTTTTCAATCAGAAGTTGAAGTGCAGCACACCCGGAGCAGTGCGTGTTGATTAAATTAACCAAAGGGCTTCGGCTCGCTCGCTTTGGGCCAAGGGTTCAAGCCCAAGTTAAAGTTAAAGTTGCGCTGACTTTGGCCGCTGGCTGAGCACGCAATCAGCCGGCAAAACAGCCGTAAACTGGGTCAAAACTGGGGCGAAACGCAGTTGAGATGGGCGGGGCAACTGATTTGCATGGCCCAAAATAAAATGTCGAAAGTGAAATGCAGCATGAAACACTAAGGAAAAACCTAAGTGCATTATTTAAATGTATTTTAAAACGTAACAGCTCTAAAGCCATTGCAGAGATACAAACTTAGTTATAAGCGTTTCCAATTCATATTTTACTTTGATGCAGCTTTTACTTTTGATGCATAGAATCAGTGAATCTGCAACCCAATCAAAACCTCTTTGTGAAGTGCACCCTTCATGTCCAGTTTTTGGTTTATTTTCGCGCAGGCAACGACGGCCAATGGAGACACGGCCTTGCATTTGGCCGCCAGACGGCGGGACGTGGACATGGTCCGCATCCTGGTCGACTACGGAACGAATGTGGACACGCAGAACGGGGAGGGCCAGACGCCGCTCCACATCGCGGCGGCCGAGGGCGATGAGGCTCTACTCAAGTACTTCTATGGCGTGCGCGCCTCAGCGTCCATTGCGGACAACCAAGGTGAGTCTGTGGCAGCAAGTGGGGCAAGGAAAAGCTGGCTTGACCTTGATGCAACGACGTGAGAACCATGATAATTGCACTTCCCAAGGGAAGCTAGCAGTTTTATAATACTACACCTTATAATCGCCCGCAGATCGCACTCCGATGCACTTGGCCGCCGAGAATGGACATGCGCACGTCATCGAGATACTGGCCGACAAGTTCAAGGCGAGCATCTTCGAGCGCACCAAGGATGGCAGCACGCTGATGCACATTGCGTCGCTCAACGGTCATGCTGAGTGCGCCACGATGCTCTTCAAGAAGGGCGTCTACCTGCACATGCCCAACAAGGATGGAGCCCGGAGTATTCACACCGCCGCCGCCTATGGCCACACGGGCATCATCAACACGCTGCTGCAGAAGGGCGAGAAAGTGGACGTGACCACCAATGTAAGTGGGCATCATCGACTGGGGCGAGCATCGTTTTAATTGGGGGATATTGTCCTTGAAGGATAACTATACCGCACTGCACATAGCCGTGGAGTCGGCCAAGCCCGCCGTTGTGGAAACCCTGTTGGGATTCGGAGCAGATGTCCATGTCCGTGGAGGAAAGCTGCGCGAGACTCCCCTGCACATTGCGGCGCGTGTGAAGGATGGTGACAGGTGTGCCCTCATGCTGCTGAAGTCGGGAGCCAGTCCCAACTTGACCACGGACGACTGCCTGACCCCCGTCCATGTGGCGGCCCGTCATGGCAATCTGGCCACGCTGATGCAACTCCTCGAGGACGAAGGCGATCCGCTGTACAAATCAAATGTGGGTAGAGCTTCACGAGTGTACTGAAATGATAAACGATTGATTTTATACCCCAATTTCACAGACCGGAGAGACACCCCTGCACATGGCCTGTCGCGCCTGCCATCCGGATATTGTGCGCCATCTGATCGAGACGGTGAAGGAGAAACACGGCCCGGACAAGGCCACCACGTATATAAACTCGGTTAACGAGGACGGCGCCACGGCGTTGCATTACACCTGCCAAATCACCAAGGACGAGGTTAAGATTCCCGAATCCGACAAGCAGATCGTTCGCATGCTCCTCGAAAATGGCGCGGATGTGACGTTGCAAACGAAAACGGCCTTGGAGACCGCCTTCCACTATTGCGCCGTGGCTGGCAACAATGATGTGCTGATGGAGATGATCTCCCACATGAATCCCACGGACATCCAGAAGGCCATGAACCGGCAATCATCGGTGGGCTGGACTCCGCTGCTGATTGCCTGCCATCGAGGGCACATGGAGCTGGTCAATAATCTCCTGGCGAATCACGCTCGAGTGGATGTCTTCGATACGGAGGGCAGATCTGCCCTCCACTTGGCGGCTGAGCGAGGCTACTTGCATGTGTGTGATGCCCTGCTGACCAATAAGGCGTTCATTAACTCCAAGTCACGCGTGGGACGCACTGCACTCCATCTGGCAGCCATGAATGGGTTTACGCATCTGGTGAAGTTCCTGATCAAGGATCACAATGCGGTAATCGATATTCTAACGCTGAGAAAGCAAACGCCGCTCCATTTGGCGGCGGCCAGCGGGCAGATGGAAGTCTGTCAGCTGCTCCTCGAGCTGGGCGCCAATATCGATGCGACGGACGATCTGGGCCAGAAGCCCATCCACGTCGCCGCCCAGAACAACTACTCTGAAGTGGCCAAACTCTTCCTGCAGCAGCATCCGTCCCTGGTGAATGCCACCAGCAAGGATGGCAACACCTGTGCCCACATTGCCGCCATGCAGGGATCCGTCAAGGTGATCGAGGAGCTGATGAAGTTCGATCGGTCGGGCGTGATTTCGGCGCGGAACAAACTCACGGATGCCACGCCCCTGCAGCTGGCCGCCGAGGGCGGACATGCGGATGTGGTGAAGGCTCTAGTGAGAGCTGGTGCCTCCTGCACAGAGGAGAACAAGGCGGGATTCACCGCCGTCCATCTGGCGGCACAGAATGGACACGGCCAGGTCTTGGATGTGCTGAAGAGCACAAACTCCCTAAGGATCAATAGCAAAAAGTTGGGTCTGACGCCGCTGCACGTGGCTGCCTACTACGGACAGGCGGATACCGTGCGGGAATTGCTGACCAGTGTTCCCGCCACCGTCAAGTCGGAAACCCCGACGGGCCAAAGTCTGTTTGGGGATCTGGGCACGGAGTCGGGAATGACGCCACTGCACCTGGCGGCCTTTTCCGGCAACGAGAACGTGGTGCGATTGCTCCTCAACTCGGCGGGTGTTCAAGTGGATGCGGCGACCATCGAGAACGTAAGATTAGGCGAATCCCTTCTGTTCAGAGCGCATTAATGGGACAATTGATTTTACAGGGCTATAATCCGCTCCATTTGGCTTGCTTCGGTGGTCACATGTCAGTGGTCGGTTTGCTCCTAAGTCGGTCGGCGGAACTCCTCCAATCGCAGGATCGTAACGGCAGGACGGGCCTGCATATCGCCGCCATGCATGGCCACATCCAGATGGTGGAGATTCTGCTCGGCCAGGGCGCGGAGATCAACGCAACCGATCGGAACGGTTGGACGCCACTGCATTGTGCTGCCAAAGCTGGCCACTTGGAGGTGGTGAAGTTGCTGTGCGAGGCGGGTGCCTCCCCCAAGTCGGAGACCAACTACGGTTGCGCCGCCATTTGGTTCGCCGCCTCCGAGGGACACAACGAGGTGCTGCGGTATCTGATGAACAAGGAGCACGACACCTACGGCCTGATGGAGGACAAGCGCTTCGTGTACAACCTGATGGTGGTGTCCAAGAACCACAACAACAAGCCCATACAGGAGTTTGTCCTGGTATCACCAGCGCCCGTGGATACGGCTGCCAAGCTGTCCAACATCTACATAGTGCTCTCGACGAAGGTGATTTAGCTGAAGGATCTCCTCTTACCCATTCCATAAATCCAACGCTAAAACATTATATATTTTCATCTCTTTAGGAAAAAGAGCGCGCCAAGGATCTGGTAGCTGCTGGCAAACAGTGCGAGGCCATGGCCACGGAGCTCTTGGCCCTGGCAGCTGGCTCGGATTCCGCCGGAAAGATCCTTCAAGCCACCGATAAGCGGAACGTGGAGTTTCTCGACGTGCTCATCGAAAATGAGCAGAAGGAAGTGATTGCCCACACGGTGGTGCAGCGATACTTGCAAGTGTGTGATATTAATAATTAGCTAGTTATAATTAATAGTTATAAATAATTAGCTAAGTCCCATGTTGTATGAGTGTGATATGATATCTAATGTGGTTCCTACTTTTAGGAACTCTGGCACGGCTCACTGACGTGGGCTTCCTGGAAGATCCTTCTGCTGCTCGTGGCCTTCATCGTCTGCCCACCAGTGTGGATTGGATTCACTTTCCCCATGGGTCACAAGTTCAACAAGGTGCCCATCATCAAGTTCATGTCGTACCTAACCTCTCACATTTACCTCATGATCCACCTGAGCATCGTGGGCATAACGCCCATATACCCGGTGCTCCGATTGAGTTTGGTGCCCTACTGGTACGAGGTGGGTCTGCTGATCTGGCTGAGTGGACTGCTCCTCTTCGAGCTGACGAATCCGTCGGACAAGTCGGGATTGGGATCCATAAAGGTGCTCGTGCTGCTGCTCGGAATGGCCGGAGTGGGCGTCCATGTGTCGGCATTCCTATTCGTCTCCAAGGAGTACTGGCCAACTTTGGTGTATTGCCGGAATCAGTGCTTCGCGTTGGCCTTCCTGCTGGCCTGTGTGCAGATCCTGGACTTCTTGTCCTTCCACCACCTCTTCGGACCCTGGGCCATCATCATTGGCGATCTTCTGAAGGATCTGGCCCGGTTCCTGGCCGTCCTGGCCATCTTTGTGTTTGGCTTTTCCATGCACATTGTGGCCCTAAATCAGAGCTTCGCCAACTTTTCACCGGAGGATCTGCGCAGCTTCGAGAAGAAGAATCGCAATAGAGGCTACTTCAGTGACGGTAAGTCGAAACGTTTGCTTTGCTTACTCCAGTCTACCTTTTGAATTTTCATTTCCGAACTTTTGTTTTCATTTGGAATGTTTTTGCAAACTTCCTCTTTTGAACGTTCAATGTGTCTTGATAAGTATCTGTGTCTGCCTTGAATGAAAAGCCATCTAATCAATGTGTGCTCGATGTTTCACATAAGTAAAATAAAGCAAAAAGAACCAACTACAACCACATAATACAACAATTGCATGCTCAACAAGTACAAACAACCCGAACCTCCAACCTTGATGTCGTAATCCCCGTCCACCCCCCTGCAAAAAACCTCCACTAATAATGTTCTCCCTCTGATCTTAACCCCCAACTGAATATCTTAACTGAATTATCCGAATGGAACAGATGACATGCCCACCCCTCGCCCTCCGCCGGTGGAGAATTATGTCGATAGTCGCTTCAGCGAATTCCGACGAAAGCACAAGGACGACCGTAAGTCTCCTACCACCCACAACTACCACCCCTTACTCCCCCCGCATCTGCATGGCCCCCTTTCCGGGGGCTGACCCGCCCCCTTAACCCTACAATGCCGGAATCCAAGCCGTTGCGTTGCCGCCTTCGATGTTGTGCGTAAAGTGTTAATGTCGTTTGTTTTCCAGTTCCCTGGAGGAACATCCACAAGTCCGCACTCGCTGCTCGAAATCCCCTCGCCTTGCTCGTTTCAGTTACTTTCGTTTTGAGGCATGTTCGCGGGAAAAGCCTTTTCCGCATCCTCGATGTTGTGGATCTGTGTTTATATAGGTATCCATGCGCCAAGCTTTATTATTTAGTTCGAAGTATCTTTTATGCTGTTTGTTTTGTCTCAATTTTGATTTAGATACATTTTATTTCTTGAAATTTGTAACAAAGATATTTAGGTGTCATGAAAAGAGAATCATATTATTTTTATTCAATTAAATTACATTTATGATCTTAGTTTCAACACTTTCTAGAATCATTTCTATTATTATGTTCTCAACTATATTTGTTATTAGTTCTTTTTCAATTATTTTTATCGATGTGTAACCAAAGCGATACCCATTAGAACTCTGTACAAATTAAAAATTCCAGTACTGCATGTTGATGTTTAACCCAGTCAATCCAAACCAAAATCAAACAATCAATCAGCAATATCGATATAACCAATGCCCGCCTGCCCGGGGCTTTCAGCTTGCGCCGCTTGCCCACCACCAAATTCTGCACCATCGAAACAATCGAGACCGATCGTATCGAATCGATAACGAAAAACGATAATGCTACTGATACCGATACCGATTACCGATGCTCGTTTCGTGAGTCATTCGAACCGCTGAGCTGCGAACTGCGAGATGCTGCTTTTGACGTGTTTAACCACTCACCCGCACTCTCCAAAATCCAAATAAACCCACCATAAATATACTCGTTTATGTCAACTTCAAAATAACCAACCAAAGCCCAGTTTTAAACTCGCACACACGCCTGTGCCAAGCCGACAATATATACATATATCCGTATATACATAAACGCTAGCTGCAGCAATCGCAAAACGCGCTAATGAAGCTATAGTTCAGATATCTGATTGTGAGTAACGTTCCGTTCGGACCCATGTTAGGACCCATGACGCCCTTTCTGGCTTTCGAGCGCCTCTTCTTCGCGGTCTTCGGACAGACGACCACCCTGGACATCAATCCCATGCGACACTTGCGTCCCGAGTGGACCGAGGTGCTCTTCAAATTTGTCTTTGGCATCTACTTGTTGGTGTCTGTGGTTGTACTCATTAACCTGCTAATTGCCCATGATGTCGGATACTTATCAGCGCATTCAGGTTTGTATTGCCAAGGCCACTAATCAGTATTTTCTCTCTGCTTTCCCTCTTCCCCCCGTTTTTTTTTCTTTTATTTTCATTTTTCGGAATGCTGTTTGTTTGTGCTTTGATTGTAACAACCCCAAAACTGACCGCTCCAAATTGAACCCACAATTGGGCATACACCGATACTGGGGGTTGGTCGATCGGACAAATCAACGTAACAAAAAAAAAAAAACGGAAACCATCAAACCATAATCGAATCAACCAACCCAAACTGGGCGTCCGTTATCTTTTTATTTTTCAAAATAATTTCCACGCCGGCCAATATATGCGTGCTGTCCGGGGGTGTCTATTTGTATCTGTATCTGTATCTGGAAATGTATCTATGGGGCTCCGACACAGTGCGCATGCATCCGATTAACTCGTTCGAGTTGTTGTTCTTCGCCGTGTTCGGACAAACGACGACCGAGCAAACGCAAGTTGACAAAATCAAAATGTAGCCACGCCCACTCAACCGTATTGGGTTTGAGTACCTGTTCAAAATTGTCTTTGGCATTTACATGTTGGTGTCGGTGGTTGTGCTCATTAACCTGCTGATTGCTATGATGTCAGACACCTATCAACGTATCCAGGGTAGTATTGCTAAAGGCGCTTTTACCTAACTCGACTCTATTATAAACCCTTACGTTAACCATAAGTTAAGTGTATGTTTTTAATTCTATATTGCATTGTGTACTAATCCGTCTCTCTTTCAGCTTAAAAAGTAAATTTATATATGAAGATTATATTCTAGCATGATATTTCTTAGCCATTTACAATTGGTAGTGAGAAGTGAAGAACTAAATGAGCTGTTGTACTAAGAAACTAGTTAATACTAACCATACAAATCCTTAGAGAACTTGGCGTGCTCTGTAAATCCATCAACTGCCCAGACTTGCATCTTCCAGGTTTTTTCAGGAAAATAATTTTAGCAATCTGAGGGATACAATTTTGTGAAAGTGTATCTCGAAGATGGAAGGCCTGCCGCCTTCTAGTGTAGTACAGTGCAGACTAGCTTTAGTGGATTAGCGCCTTCAAGTGTGCCCTGCTTTTGTGACCAGTGTTGAGCAAGGCCGAACCAGAAAGTGTTGTTTAACGCATGCTTACAAACCTTATACATATATAGAAATCGTTGCTGCATGTCTATGTGCCTGTGTTCGTCATTGTCTAGGACTTAAGTCTGAAGAGATACACCAATATGGTGGCTAGGTTTTGTATGGTAATTGTGCAGTCCTCGAGCGATTGCCATCCAAAACAGGCCACTGAATTGTGTATTTCTATTATTAACAACCTGATTTTTGCAGCTCTTAAGTTACGTATAAACAAAGTAAAACTGTAAAATCCGAGGCTTCCGTACACGAAACTCATCCCGTTTATACCTTTGTTCTTGTTCTCCCCAACATCATGTCTCATCCATTCAACATCGCGCACTTCGCAAAACCAATAATAAACTGAACAAAAACCTATGAAATACTAGGCCCAATCCGACATCGAGTGGAAATTCGGCTTGTCCAAGCTTATACGCAATATGCATCGCACCACAACAGCGCCATCGCCGCTTAATTTAGTTACCACCTGGTTTATGTGGATCGTCGAGAAGGTCAAGGTAAAATCTCAGGTGACGAAGGTCGCCTTCCAGCCGCTGGCGCTGCCTCTCTCTCTCTCTTTCCCTATCCGTATACTGTATCCTGTATCTTATACATGTTTCCATATCTGTTGAATACATGACTATATATGTGCAACTACCTGAACCGATCCTGAACGGGTGTAGTTAGCTGACCTTTTCCCCAACCCATTTAAAGCAATTTGGCAACAACCGCAATGAGTTTTAACACCGTGAATGCTTTAAGTGTGTTGCCCACATAAGAAAATCACCCTTGCACCTCGCACTTTCTCTGTATCTTCAAAATAGGTGATCGAAATATAAGTATGTACATATTTCGATCTCCTACTCTATGGCACTTAATGTCCAGCACCGCGCACCTGATTGCTTTCGATGTAATTAACAATTGCTGACTGCGTTTATGTTGTGTCTCTTGTCTTGTATGTGATCTATGTCCCGTGTCTAATGCGCCTTGATCTAACCCACAAACCTGCAAACCCCAATTCAAAACACGCGCCTCAGGCACGCATGAAGAAAAAAAGAAGCGTCCAAGTCTGGTTTCAGATGATGGGAATACGTCAGGCCAGTCCGCGTACCAAAGCCGGCGCCAAGTGGCTGTCGAAGATCAAAGAAAGGTG